GAATTCCCGCGCAAAAAAAATCTAGGCAAAAAGTAACATGTTTAAAGTAGAAGTGCATTTGCCCAATGGATCTTGGAAGACAAAGTAATTCTTCAAGCCTAGCGGCAAACATACTATTCCATTAACGTACAGCACATCCCAAAAGCGTAGAAGTCGGTGGTATGAAGTGATATTTACAGAACAGTGTGAAGCTCTCTCCGTACTCAAAAAACATCCTCGAAATCAAACCTTGCGACCGGCCAATCAGATAGCGCAGTCTAAAGGCTACCCTAACCTAGATGATCGTGCTATTTCGCAGGAGCATACTGCGACGAGTAACAGCCCGATTAAAATCGCCTTATGCGTACCATTTATCGTAGACGCCATAAGCAGAGATATTAGGGTGAGTTTGCGACATGTGGAATGGAATATGTAAGAATTTGCAGGAATATGTAAGAATCGCGCTACCTCCTCCAGCATGAAAAACAAACAATTGTTCCGCAAGAGGCATGCGACATTTGCATAATACCTCGTGATATGAAGTTGGATGCTTCATCTGTTATATGTCAATCATTTAGTTAGGGGCATGCGAGCGAGATGAGAAAACGCTAGGTGTTAAAATCAGGGAGCAATTGGATGGAAATGCCGCTACTAGTAACATACATTAGCAGCCATTGAAAATGATGTGATGTAAATGTTATAACCCAAGTCAAGCATGACCTATGATAAATGCCTGCAAAATGAAAGCGAACTGGCCTGCCTTCTACATCGCCTGTTACAAACATCTTTTTTGGTAATCAAGCACTATCCCTAATGTCTCATATGAATAATTTCATGCTTAAAAATTTTCTTATATAAACATTACATGAAGACTGTTTAATTTCTTCGATTATCTCAAAACTACAATAAAAGACTAGTATTTCCACGCTGAGGAGGAGATCAAATAAATGGGAATATATCGGCCATACATCTGCCTATTCTTGACAGCGGTTGTGTATGTACTACCTATATGCAAATACCAACAGTATCTCTCGTATGACATTGAGCTAATTTTAGCATTTTTGTTGTACTCAAAGGCTATGAAAGCTTAGCATCCCTTCAGCATTATTTTGCCATGTGGTCAAACCAAAGTGTTGTAAACAAGATATGGAGAATTTGAAAAAGAAAGAGCACA